ACCCTGCCGCAGATGAACGCCGCTTTTGAGGTCATGAAGTCGGGCGACTGCATCCGCGCCGTTGTCGACATGCGCGACCTGTCGGAGTAACCGTGGAAAAAATCTATTTAAAAAAGGGTATACCAAATTGTTCACAATAAGGCAACCGATCGCGTGTCACATCCAAGGCGTCTGGTGCTGGGCGGCGGGGAGAGAGGCGAGGTTTCAGTGGGATCCAAAAACGGCGAGCTGAGGTCAAGAATAGGAGTTGGGTCCGTAACGAGCGGTATCTTGGTTACCATGACGTAGCTCAGAACCATGTTTAATGATACTCATGCTGATTGATGAGAGTCTTTTTCCTGCGTCTGTTCGTGCGTGTCTTGTTGCGCAGCAGATTGGCGAGACGACCTTGGTAACAACTGTTGAACGAATCTTGACTTCATGATGCTGAAGCATCAACCCTACTAATTAGCTGGTCGACCAGGGACATGATGGATATGCAACGAGTCCTCCATGAACATGAAAGCCCAAATATCTGATCACCCATCACGGCCCCCACTTGAGATATGGGAACCTAGCTCACACTTCAAGTCTCGTATCTGAAGACCAATATGTTGTCAGATGAACTACGAAGCTGAAGGGGGGAATTAGTTTGCTGTTCGTTGGATAGTTCCGCGGCATCTCGGGTCAATGGCGGTCGTCGTCGCCACGCCCGCTGCATCAACAGCGCCTCCTGGACCGCGAGCTCGTGACCACCGAGAGACTAAACTAGTACATCGCGGGGGAACCCCCGCAAGTTCGTCAGCCACTGCCACGACGGGCCATCCATCTTGGGGGGTTTCGACGGCGATGTCTTCTGCTCTGCGAATGAATCTATGCTGGCCGTGTCTTCAAGCAACTCAAAACCGGCGCACTATTCATGCAATGCGGCCCGATATATAGCAGCCACACTTAGACTTTCATGGCTGCGTAGCCGAACCAGAATCGACCGGTCCTCCACGAGTTGCCCGTGGGGGTAGACATGCATGGTTCAGTGAGTGATTGCTCCTCTTCACTTCCGCACTCCATCAATAACTGCTAGCTGGAAATACTGATTGACATCGTCGTCGGCGCATTCTTAGTCTGGATTATTGGCTTGAAAGCTAATATCACGACCTCCTGGTCAATTTCCACTGGTCTGTTTAGGACTTCAATATGAGCCCTTGGCATATCTAGTGGCAACCTAGACATCGGCTTTCGCGGCCTTCGACTACAAAATTGCAATAGTATGATAGAGGACTAAGGATCATCGCGTACTTGCGGAGATATGCCAAGCCCTGTTCATTCGCAACCTAAATATCGTTGTCAGCCGTAGCAGCTGTATACTGTAGCTTTTGGGAACCGACTTGACCGATCAGTGGCGTCTGGAAACTCAACGCTGAACCTGGAATGGATTCTACATAAACCAAAGGAGCCCCCTGGGAAGGCCATGGTCTGCAGCTCTACCTGGTCCGCAGTGAGCAGCAACAAGATTTGCTGACTTTGGCCTCGAAACTGTCTCCAACCAGAGCTTAGCTTGCTTTACCATCGGCATCGGTCTCATCGATCTCTTCAAACCACGCCTTGCGTCGTTGAGGTCTTGCTGTCGTTGTCCAAGAATTACAGATAAAGAACTGGCTGCCTGAGGTAGGGTTGCAGGTCACTATTGTGATATTCACTTGAGCCCCGGAGGAAGGCGCCGCTGTCTGTGCGGTTTGACATGTCGCCAAGCCTTCGGCTGAGGAGATGGGTGCAGAGGGGTGCCCATGGAGGAGGTCCAGGTGGGTAGATGTTGCAGGCATATTGCCCATTGCACTGCGAATTGGCCGTCTCGGCGCCAGCGTCAATCTCCATGGGTATGCATCTCGGCGGGCTCGGCCACCTACGTAGGAGGACATGAGCGGTCGTCGTCGGCCATGCGTGGTGCCAGATGACTCGTGTACATAGGGTGATTTGAGCCCCCCGCAAAAACTCAACTCGGGACTAAACGGTTCGGCACAGGGCCTAGTCCTCCGCCAGACTGTGGTCAAACGCGCCCAATTGAAACGAACACCGTCAAATGCTTTGCCATGATTGAACCGTGCTGCTCGTGGGTAGAGTAGAGATCCTAGAGAACGAAGAAATTGGGGAAAGCAATGCCTGTGCACCTCTGGTTGGCGGTCAAGGTCACTCAAGCTTGGCAGGCAAAGTGGCTCGATCTCATCACAGCCATGATTAAACCGCTTTCGGCACCTCATCGTCTGTCGTGTCAGCTGGAACCCTGTGGCACGCCTGGTCTTTGAGGTCGCGGCCTAGACCCATCTGCAGATGTCTGTTGTTCGCTGCTGGCCGTCACTTCGCTGGCTGTTGGGCTCTGCGGCTAACCGCTGGTTGGGATCGACTTCCGGATGGGGACAGATGCCTTTGGCTCTGGCTGCCTGGCCCGGGGCGGCGGGTTCCAAGTCGAGGGCTGGCTTGGCTGGGTCAAGGCTGTGGAAGGCAGTGGATCAGAAGACGGGAACAGAAGAATGCGCTTGTCTTATCTGAACCGTGGGTGGTCATCTATGTCTGATCGGGTTTCATCGTTGAGTCTTGGGGTTGAGGAGGCAAAGACAGAAGGAAGACCGAAAATCGAGCGAGGGCTTGCTGGCTGGGAAGGCAAGCTGTTGACAGAAAATCTGGCACTCTTAAAATCCTTCACCTCACAACACCACTACAACCACCAAAATGACCGATTTTCCACGCCATAATACACCTACAGAATCTAGGATCCTAGGGGCTGCTACCTTTGTGGATAAATCCAGAACGTGTTAATCACTGGATTGATTCAATGCCGCAACGGATGAGGGATGTGGTAGCTATGGAGGGTAGAATGACTAGTTGGTAGATATGAGTGCCCGATTTTAAGAGTGCCAGATTTTCTGTCAACAGCTTGGAAGGGAACGTAAGAGTCATTGACCTCGTGGCGGGAAGCCCGTCCGTTTCCATCCGGTTCGGTCCCCTAGAAGGTGCGACTGGCTCCTGGGTAAGTACCTATCCTGACGGTGGGTAGGCAGGCAGGTTAGGGAGGTACAGTGCCCATCTATTCCGTCGTCAATCGAGCCGGGTCCGCTTCAGGCCCACACGGTCCCCGTTTAGGCGTGCATTGGCGCCTGGAACCCTGCATGGTGTAGCCAGCCCGCAGTGTCCACAACACCCCCCTCCCCCCTGTACCTGCTCCGTGCAAAGCCAAGCACTTACCGCTCCCCGTCCTCCGAACCAGGCAAGGCAAGCGCAAGGCAGGCCAGCCCCAGGCAAAGGCGTCACAGTGGAGGCCATGTGAGGCGAGAGTGTCAGGAGGCAAGGAGGCAGGCAGGAGGCAGGACAGCTGGAAGGCAAGGACGCCGGGCCCGGGCCCATGATTGCGTTGTTGCGGAGTTGCCTACCGTCTTCGCGCCAGGTTCCCTTTCTTGCTAAGCACCCTTTTAAAAGCGGCTCATCTTCTCGTCATCAGCCGACCTGCCTTGGCTCCGACATCTCTCGCCTCCTATTCCTTTTATTAACTGACACGTATTCGCCCTTCTCCCACCCTCGCCTCCTCCCAATCTCTCCCTCCTCTCCTCCCCCTCCCATCTCGGCACCGCACCACTGCCACCGACACCGTTCTACCAGCCGACTCTCGACACCTCAGCTTATCACAGGCACACCACATCAACGTCGACCTCTCTTCCTCGAGTCTCGTGCCCGGCGAAAACTTCTATCAGACAACCCCACAAACAACGACACACCACCCCCTCAAATCACCATCATGCCTGCAAAGAAGATTCGCTGCACCGCCAAGGACTGCCGTGATGCCGCTCAGCGCATCGTTGGCGACTGCGGCTTCTGCCAGGGCCACTTCTGTGGCAAGCACCGCCTTTTGGAAGACCACAAGTGCTCCGGCCTTGAAGACGTAAGCTCTGCTCCCTCGTCTGTCTCAAATCCCTGGCTCCTTGGCTTGGGTGATGTTTTGCGAGACGAAGGACTGCTCGCTGACATGGATGGTGCTCTCCCAGTGCAAAAAGGAGTCACACGAGCGCAACGCAGCGCAGCTCGAGTCCGAAAGGACACAAATGATCCGCGGCGTGTAAAACGTTCAGCCACCACCACAACACACCTTCCTCGGGGAAGCCGGCATGTGCCGGAGAGCAAGTTGACGCAACATCAGCGCCGTATCGGAAGCCATCGCCGTCGCCGTCACCATCGACGAGCGACTGCAAACCAGGCGGTGCGACTGAGCATCTCACTTGCCACACACGGAGGAAACGAGAGGCGCCGAGCGATTGGAAGATATCGACCGAGCGGCCTCCAGCACTTCACTTCGGACACACCACCTTGTCCCTCATGAACAACAGGATCGACGAAGCGAACTTCCGCCGTCCCAGAGCATGTTATTGTATTTTAGTCGTTTTAGTTTACCCTTACCCCCGCACGGCGTACCGGAGGGCTTCATTATCACTTTTGTCCATATACCTCGGGGTCGCAGGTCGGGGAGCTAGATGGTAGCATCATGATCTGTTTTACACCTTTCACCCCGCATCCATTCTGATTGTGGCACATGCATTTTTGTTCATTTCCACTCTACCCACGTGTCCCGCTCAGTGACAGCAGGTGGAACCTTGCGATGGCTCGAAGCGTTATAGACTCCATAGACTCGGGACACGTTCTATTAGATGGTACACATGCTATCACTTCCCGGGCCATCACCACGTCGCAATTGTGCGACTCGTTGCATCTTACTGTGCACCTCGTTCTTGTGAATCTACGACACTAACCAATGTACTTGTGACGTGTAGCAATACGAGTCAGGTTGAATGCGCCCATCTCGCCTTCGCCCCGTCATCTCCCAACAACTTGTGCCAGACTCACCTGTGCCAGACTCACACTCATTCCGGCCTATCTCCGATATCGTATCAGCCATGGACCGCCCAGCCCCGGAACCAGCACTACTGGCCCACCTGACTCGCAACCCGAACACCATCGCGCGGGGTCGGGCCCATCGGGCGGTTCGTCATTCGCCTGTCGACTGTCGTGGTCGCAGCACAGTCGTTCGCTCGAGGGAGATCGGGTCGGGTGGGCAGCAGAGCGCTCGACAACCGTTCATCGCATGACGAACGACATGGGCGACAACAATCTCTGACCCCCCCCCATCTGGGCCGCCATTGGCAAAGCCAGTCAAGACACCAGGCCTCTCTGCCTGTGCGAGTGCGTGGTGGCCTGACATGCACCGCTACGTGGCCGTGGCCGTGGGACGTGGGGATGTGACCGACCACCGCCCGCTGTGTGCCTCGGCGCGCGCGCGCACGCATGTGTATGTACCTAAGGTGCCTCATTTATGTATATGCGTACGTGCTGGTGGGTGCGGCAAGCGCCTTTGCGATTGGGGGGGACGAACAGTTTGATGCATCATTCGCCCGCCAATCGTGCAGCATACTGCCGTCTTTTGCCTCTGCGATTGAATCATGCGAGATGAAGAGGCAAGGCGCTGACTGGAGGGGCTTTGTTACTCGTCATGTATCGCTTCCCGCTTGATGCTGACCACCTTTTCGTCCAGCATGTGCCCTTCCTCCTTGGTCACCCGCGTCTCGAAAAACTCTGACGCAAGGACGTCCACCTTGGGCACGTCGTCTTCTTTCACTTTGACGCCCTCGGGCCCCGCCGCCCGTCCCAGCGCCACCTTCTTCCGATCCGCACCCCGGCACAGGCCGCGCAGCCCGAGGTCGCACTCGCCGCACCGCCGCCGGCCGGCCTGTGGCGGGCACACGGTCTGGCCGAGGCCGACGAGCAGCGTGTTGATCTCGTGCCAGCGGTCGCGGGGCAGCCAGGCCTCGAGGGCGAGGCGCGAGGCCTCGGGGCTTGCCGTCTTGTGCCACCCCCACATGTTGGTGATGCGGTGCACGTGGACGTCGACGCCGATGCCCTCGGTGCGGCCCCAGGCGGCGGAGAGGCAGAGGTGGGCCATCTTGGGGCCGACGCCGGGGAGCGAGGTGAGGCCGTCGATGGTCGGGGGGATGTCGGCGTCGAAGTTGTCGCGGAGGAGGAGGGCCGCCTGCTTGATGAACCTGGGGCTGTTTAGCCTCGTGGATCAATCCGAGGGTCGGTACAAGGGAGGGGTGAGGGGACGATGGCCTTGCCGGGCTGGTAAAGGAAACATTGTCCTCGTAAGGCAGATGGGGCAGAGAGGAGGGGCCAGAGACTGACTTTGTCTTGTTGTTGTGGAAACCCACGACTCTGATGAGCTCGTTGAGCTTCGCAGGCTCAACGGCCAATATGTTCTCGAGGTTCAACCCTGGTGGCGCGCCCGCTTCATGGGGCGGCAGCTCATCGTGCAATCGGCCCATGGCCACCGCATTGACCGTGTCTTTTGTCTGGCTCGACATCATCAGGGAGATGAGGATCTGGAAGCGGCGGTCGCGGTCGCTGGCCGTTGGCGAGAAGAGGCGCTCGCAGCCCATGGTGTCGACGGCGGCGTCACGCGCGGTGCCGCCGAGACGCATCTGGCGAACAAGCTCATACATCTCTTCCCAGTCTGACGGGCCCTCGACCGTGTCTCCCGATGGCGACTCGCCTTTGATGACGCGGGCTGGTTTCCGGCGCTTTCGCGGTGACGCGGAAGGGGGTTTGGAGTTGGGGGAAGGCGGCGCCTTGATCACGGGCTCGACCTTTGTGACGACGCGGCGGCGTTTTCGGGGGTTCGTTTCCAGGCCATCTTCAATGTCGGGGGTCAGGGGGCGCTGTGGCAAGAGTTGGAGAGGAGGATGGCACGGTCGAGTCGTGAAAGGCAAATCGGGCGAGAGAGCTGCGTGTCGTTCGACGAGGCGCAGAGGGTAATGGGGGTACTGCACCCAGAATGGCTGCCGTGTCTTTGGACAGTCGAGAGGTTCGCATTGTGGCAGGGTGGGCAAAAGACGTGCCACGTTCCTTCCGCTGGTGCAGATTGATGAATGGTGTGTGTTCGACAGCCTCGCAATAGATGAGCTTCGAGCAGCTCCCTGACCCCTGGATTGGATTGATACAACGGGGTCAGCGAACCACGGCGCTGGGATTACCATGTGCGACCCTGAAGCCCCCACCCCACCCCGCCGCCGAAGCGAAAGCGAAAGCGCAGCCTGCAGGCGGCTTGCGCCGGGCCGTTTGTGCCACACCCCGGGGTCCCTGCATGTGTCGTCTTGTTTCGCTTGGGCTACTCATTGCAGTTCTTCGCCATGTCCAAGGTGATGAGCCTAAGCATCTGTCTACCTGGGAATACTTCATACATCCTTGATATTTCTGTGCGCACGTCTGGATCTCTGGCATACACACATCTGCCTCTTGCTTGCTTGTCTTACCACAGCCACATCGAGGCTTGATTATCAACAAAGATACTGCCTTGATTGTGTTGTGCAAGCAAACAAATCATAACATCTTGGAACTGTTCGCAAAGTGACCCGACAAGTGTTGCCAACGGGACATCGGGGGATCATGTCAAGCGGCGCTCCAGATCGCTCCCGAGGACACGCGAAGCTTATACTGCCATGTTAACCCACAGCTCTTCGAAGTACTGCGCGAACGATACATCTCTTCTCTGTAGCCGAATCGGTAAGATGGTCATTCTAGATGGCGTATCTGCAAACTTGCGATCATCAGACTGAGAAGCCAGCACGGTCTCGCTGGCATTCAAAACATGGCAATTTCCAGGAACGTCCTCGGTGGGCCAGCCAGACGTTAGACGTCCAAACCGGCAAGCCACAACGACCACGTTGACAAGAACAGCACCCAATCCACGTAGTCGAGCATGCAAATGGCGTAACACGTACATTGTCCAACCATCGCACTCGCGTCAGAATGTCGTGCGAGCAGACCATGGTTCTCGCGCGATCACTTCTAACCAAGAGCGTAGAGATCATGCAGAGATGAAGCTCGCTGTCATCTTATTTCGTGCTCGTAATACTTTGCAGAACGCTTCATATCTCCATTTTGCCATCACCAAGTCCAGACGAAGCCGTGCCCTGATTCTGTGCGAACAGCCCACACGCGTACGCGACAGACGGCACACTCCTCCCATCGTGCAGATCCAACATGTACACGCATCAAATCGCCTCCAACGAAAAACATACATATCCTGCCGAGAACCGCCGGATCCCTCATCTGCCAGGTGTGCTATCCTGTTCGCCACCCAGCCATTGGACCCCGCCTCCTTATTTCACTTCGTGCCGCTCTACCCAGCATGATATCCCATCTGCCGTATCCCACCGCAGAGGTTCCGAGTCCTGGGCCTTGAGGTCGGCCTGCATACTGCTGTACGTGAGGCCGTCGGAGAGCTGCTCCTTGCCCAGGCGTTTGGCTTCCGCGTTGGCGTCCTTGAGATGCGCGTACGCGCCGAGGGCGACGAATTCATTGCCGCCACAGTCGCGCCAGAGCAGGACGTAGACATGTGGCCCGGAGCCTGGTAATTTCGACGCCATGGTTTTTTTCGGTTATTTTTTCTTCTTCCTTTTGAGTTCTGACCGTGCTTTTAGTCCCGATCGTGATCGAGGCTGAACGCGGTTTCGCGAATCGTGGTTACGTGGCGAATTCAAGGCGTGGCGGGCTGCGATGAGATGTTGTCTGTGACCATGCGGCGAACCGTGGCCGTGCGCTCATTTGAACATCGGGGTTATTTGATTTCGCAGTCGTCGTGTCAAGTTGGGACAAATGTAGCCGAATCTCGATGCTCGTCCCATGACGGCGTGTTGTTTGATTGTGGGAACGAGAGGCGTGCGCTCGTGATGTCTTGGCGGGGGGCTATGGTTCTTCGGGAGCATGACGTCGGCGGTGATGCATGGCGACCATGTTCGGCTGCACGGCACTACGTAATAGCCATGCCTGGGCACTGGTCGGCGAGTGTGGACCCACAGGTGCTCGGCCCCGGCCCCGAACGCCGGAGGCCCGCGGCGTGTTGGGTCCTATCGCTCCGAACCGTTCTCCCCGATGAGCGAGACACGTGTTTTGCGTTTTTTTAAACAAGGCTGCTGGACAGATGACTTTGATTTCTTGCTTCGCTAACATGACAATCTACTGCGTTCCGAAGAGCATGCCGCCGTTGGCGCACACAACCTGTCCTGTGCACCATGCCGACTCGGCAGACACCAACATGCCCACAATGCCAGCAACCTCGCCGACATAGGCCGGGCGGCCGCCTGCCGTCTCCGCCTCCTTGACGAGCGCATCATCGTCAATGCCGGGACGAGCCTTCATCAGGGGCGAGTGCTCGATGAAGCCCTTGATGAAGCGCTTGAACTCGGGCGTGTTGCTTTCGTACATCTCGGTCAGGACGGGGCCAGGGTTGATGGCGTTGACGGTCGCGTTCTCGCTGAGCTCGCGAGCCCAGGTGCGCGTCATAGCCTCAAGGGCGGCCTTGGTGCCACCGTAGACGCTCTGGCCGAAGAAACCGGTGGAGGAGCTGACGGATGAGAGGTTGACGATGCGGCCGGAGCGATCGTTGGGCAGGTAGGGCTGAACGGCTTGGACGAGGAGGAGGGGTCCGAGAACGTTGACGCGGTAGGACGTGTCGAACTGGTCGACGGTAATGTCGGGAATGAGGTTGTTCAGCGCGACACCAGCGTTGTTGATGAGAATGTCGATCTGGAACCTGGCGATGCCCGCCTCCGCGGCCTGCTTCTTGGCCGACTCGACCAGAGTGGCAGGGCCAGTAGTGGTGCCGAGATCAGCCTGCACGGGCAGGGCAATGATGTTGTGCTTGCTCTTGAGGTCGGCAGCCAGGTTTTCAGCGCGGGACTGCGAGGAAGCCGAAGTGTAGCCCAGGATGAGGTTGCAGCCCTTGGAAGCAAGGTTCTCGGCGATGGCGACACCAATGCCTAGGTAGGTAGCACAGGGTTAGGTTAGCTTTGCACAACGCAGAAAGGGCGCGGTGGAGTCTAGGGTACCTCGAGCGGCACCGGTCACGATGCCGAGCTTTCCATCGAGTGATCGCGACATGTTTCTTGTCGAAAAAAGTGTGTGAGAGGGAACAAGAGTAGCCACCTAGGTGGGTGTGGAGGAGAAAGAAGTGCCGTGTCCTCCAGTCGCCAAGGGCAGGCGATCGGTCACACCTTTTATCGTGAAGCGCATAACCTCGAAGGACTGAAAGACCAGACCTACCCGACTCATTGGCCTCCTGGGATGTCCCGCGCAAGGAAAAAACATGGGAGCAATGAGGCGAGCGAATTGGCTTTGGCCAGGACCCCCTCTGAGGCCCCTAGGACGCTGAAGCTACCCCGCCAAAGCAGCTTCGACCTGAGCGCGTGCCCCGCGATGCGATGACGTTTGATCCGCGCCAATCGTCTTTCGCGAAAGGCCCGACACAGGTACCATGTACCTGTACCTACCTACCTACCTACCAAGTAGGTACCTTAGGTGGTAGTTCGGCGAGAAAGCTCTCTGCCTCTAGCATGATATTATGTCAGCATTTTGACACCCCCTCCGTCGCAACATAGTTGCGGACCCTGTGCAGATCCCCACCTCCATTCGCCAAGTGCCAGACAGGAATAGCACCTTTGCACTGGGGCGCAACACCGCAAGACGGACATCGAAAAGTCTCAACACCAGCCTGCCAGCGAGCTGACCCATAGCTTTGACAACGACGTCTGTCCTTTCTTCCTGCTGTTCTCCCGCTCCACTCATTCTGCCCCCCCAGCTCTACGACAAACGACGACAACCACCATCCACAACCGCCACCATGGACATCCGCCTCCTCAAGTCCTCCGACCTCCCGCTGATCCAGCACGCCAACCTCGAGAACCTCCCCGAGAACTACTTTCTCAAGTACTACCTCTACCACGCCCTGTCCTGGCCCCAGCTCAGCTTCGTCGCCGTCGACGTGTCGCGCCCGGCCAAGACGCCCTACGACTACCCCAAGATTGTCGGCTACGTGCTGGCCAAGATGGAGGAGGAGCCCGCCGACGGCATCCCCCACGGCCACATCACCTCCCTCTCCGTCATGCGCACCCACCGCCGCCTCGGCATCGCCGAGAAGATCATGCGCCAGTCCCAGCTCGCCATGGTCGAGACCTTTGGCGCCCAGTACGTCTCCCTCCACGTCCGCGTCAGCAACCAGGCCGCCATCCGCCTCTACCGCGACACCCTCGGCTTCACCTCCGACAAGACCGAGGCCAAGTACTACGCCGACGGCGAGGACGCCTACTGCATGCGCCTCGACCTCGCCGACATTCGTGACCGCGTCAACGAGGAGCGCGACGCCGAGCGCGACGCCCGGGGCGACGACCAGGACGAGGGCGAGGCCGTCGGCGATGTCGGCTCCGATCCCGGCAAGAAGACGAAGCCCGATGGCGAGCCCAAGCGCAAGGTCAAGGTCGGCAAGGCGCTGGGCGTCGGCGAGCTCGTGGAGAAGAATGAATCCAAGTAAAGGAAGGGGGGCGGCGGGCGGTGGGCGGTGGGCAGTTAGGGCTTGCCTGCTTGAAGCAAGGATGCCCGACAGTCTGAAATTCTTGGTTATGCAACGGAGAGGGAAGAAGGAACA